AAAAAAATATATATAAATATATATATATATATATATATATATATAAATCAGAAAAAATCTGACTTTTTCTTCCTCTAAATTTTGAGTTTAAATCTTGCAATTCTTTTTTTGTTTGTTTTTTTGTTGTCACCGAATAAAAAAAGAAAAAAGGTAATTGTGACTTTTATTTTACAGTTCTTTTCTCTCTAATATCCAGCAATTCAGACTTTTCTTTTAATTTCATTTTTCACAAATAGTCAATTACCTTATTTTTAAATTTTTTTTATCCCATGGCAAAAACATATGGAGGACGAAACCTGCAAAAACAATAAATAAATAAATAAATACACAAATAAATAAATAAATATGCAAATAAATAAATGTGTGTATAAATACACAAATTCTTGTTTAAATACATATAGAAATAATTAAAGATGTGATTAAAGTAGGCAAATAAATACAATGAATTGGTGGGCAAATGGAAAATGTTTAAGAAAATACATACGACATTGGTATACACTTTTCTAACTTCAATAGCATTTGAGGAGAATGACTTACAGTAACACAACCAACTGTGAAGTGGTCATGTAGTTCTTGGTTATAATGCACACCTTTTAGATTTTTGATATTTATTCAAATAAACTGTCAAATCATATGTAAATATTGCTATTTTTTTCTTTACGAATATGGGCTCAAGCACAAAATATGCTATAATTTAAAGCTCAACAGCATTTGAGGAGAATGACTCACAGTCATAAAACCAACTGTAAAGTGTTCATGTAGGTGTCAACTATAATGCACACCTTTTCGATTTTTGATATTTATTAAAATAAACAGTAAATTCATATCTACACTGTAAAAAAAAATTCCTGTAGAAATTACAGTAACTAACTGGCAGCAGTTCGCTCGTAACTTACTGTAATTTTATTTTGTAGCAGAAACACTGTATTTTATTTTACCATGCCATTTAACTTGCTGTAAATGTATTTACAGTGTAATATTGTTTAACTGTAAAATATTTTATTATTGTATTCATTTTTTGGTCCTTTCTTGAGTAATGCATTTTAAAACAATAGAAAATATACTGTTATACTGTAAAGTTTACTGTAATTTGTTTGCTTCACTTTTCAGTTACTGTAAAACTATATGCACAAATTGTAAAATTAGCAGTTCCATTAAATAACATTGGGGGGGGAAAAACAATGACAACTGTGTAACTTCGTATTTTAAATTTTCCCAATGTCCTCCCCCAACCCAAACCTGAAACTTTACATTAAAGAACTGTAACATACTAGACGATTTGCAGAATTTAAAACTATTTACATAGGCAGCACTTCCAGTCAACCTTTTGAGCCCTCTTGAACTGGCTGTCTGTCTTTGGAAGGCACACGAAACCACCTCCTGCATTGATGGCATTCGATCTGAAAAAAGAAAGAAAGATAATAAT